AATGATCAATGATCATAAACTGAAAAGCCCCAAACATTTGTTTATGATAAAATAAATAATAGTATGGCGCCTTATGGCTACAGATTTTTTGTCCACTGAAATATATTTGCAGGAATGTACGATTTCGCTGCCATATAACGGCCACGATTCCCCAAGCACTAAAGAAATCGTAGCTAAAAGTCCTTCGGCAACAACAATTTTAGAAGGATCAATCTGCTTACCATACGCCATATTGACATAAATCGCATCACATACTCGCATAAATTGACTTTGATATTTTACATTCATGCATACACTTCAGTTGTCCTTTACTTACGATTTTGGATGTAAATTTCTGCTGATAAAACTCAAAACAATGTTGGCTTGCTTTTGAACATCAATGACTGAAATGTCGCTCACGAGATCGTCTTTGCCAAGCATTTACAATTCATCCATAAATTTTTCACCCTCTTCAAAAAATTAACAGTTTGGACAGCAGCATTCATGTCAATAAATGAATTTGTAAAAGATTTCCATAAATTCCATCTGGTTGTAGTTTACTTTCTATCATGCTTTAGAAAATTACAATGAAACGATCAAACATTCAATTCAGACAGTGAGCTTGACTATGTTAGTTCAGTTGGCTATCAGTCGAAATCGGTCAAACCAATAACAGTAAGACAAAAATTTAAACGAACCAATTACACGATAGCAATTGGACTTCCTTATAGGTCCGGCCAACCCGCTTATCGGTCGAGATTATTCCAGATCGTCCACAGATCTGGCTATTGACCAATGGAATGGCTTAAACAAGCATTCTTGAACTCCGTTATGGGTCGAACCAGTCGAGCCATCCCGCTTATCAGTCAGCCAGTTAATATATAATTCTAGATATGTTTTTATCTACTGATCTGTTTACTATGGTGGTATTTGTATAAGTTTTCATACATAAAAGAGAATTTTGACGATGAAATCCAAAGGATTACAGAACGAAAATTTAATGATCAAAAAAAATTGTAATCATTAAATTTGATAAATAATTTTTGAACTACAAACATCAGTCGCGTGACTGATTTGATATACCCTAGATCCGCCCCTGGTATGTATGACCACAACCTGGACATTTAAATTCATATACAACATTGGCTTTAGAGAGTTCCGGAATTTTGTACTTTTTGGGACAGAAAATTGATGTCTTTTTTGTTTCATATATAACTATGCGTTTGATAGAGATTTTTAAGCTACGGCGAATTTTACGAAGAAGATTGAAAACCAAACGTTCACCCTGTTTGCCTAGATATGGTATTCTAATAAAAATTTTGCGAAGGTCATTCTCAGTATTTTGTTTGGGGGGTTATTTTTAGCTATGATTTTGGTTTTGCGTTTATGAATCAAGAATTTCCGGACTGTAAGAGGGAAACCATTCCATGACATAAAAGACTTGAGTGCTTGAATTTGTTTTTTGAATAATGTTTGGTTAGAACATATTTTAAATGCGCGAAAAAATAGGGAATTTATCCAAGTAGTTTTGCGGTTGAAAGGTTCGAAACTTGAAAAATGTGTATATTGGCCAGTATGAGTTGTTTTACGGATTATATCAATATCGCCATCAAGTTGTTCATAAAGAATACCTTTGCAAGAAAATATAGTTTTGGTGCATGAATCAATAAGTTTTTTGAGTGTTGATTTTCGGAGTGTGGTATTAATAATATTTTGTTTGTAAATGCGATCTAGTACAATATTGATGGTTTTACGCAAAGCCACGTTGGTGAAAAGAGATTCAACATCAAAAGAGACAAACTTATAACCTTGGGAAAATAGATCTTTAGGTATAGATTTAATAGCACCAGTAGCATCGAAAGAGTCTTGTAATGAAAATTTATTTAGGGTGAGTGGATTCAAAAGGTTTGCAATGAATTTGCCTACGTTGTAGTGTGGTGTGTTTGTGGTGTCAATTATTGGTCGTAACTTAGGTAATGTGTCAAATTGTTTGTGCGTTTTAGGTAGTCCATGTGCTCTGGCAAAGTGCGCATGAGTAGGTCGTAAGAAAGTATGTTCAGTTTCATTGATCTCACCCCGTTTAAGTGTGCATAGATAGGACTGTAGAGTGGAGAGTCTACTAGAAGTAAGGTCGCTTGAAATACGCTTAAAATAATGAAATACGGTCGCTTGAAATACGCTTAATAGTAAACAAGGTCGCTTGAAATACGCTTAATAGTGTCCCTTAATTTGTGTTATTGCGTGTATGTTGTTATATTCAAGTTATTATAAGGTCAATGAATAGTATTTTCCCAAATAGGTTATTTCTTTTCTTAAATATTCACTGCCCCATAATAGTAATATGTATTTGAAATGTAATGTCCAGATTGATTTATAGCAGAATGAAGGAGATAGTCCAATGACAAGTATCCATGATTATTGTTGTGCCAAAATTAAAGACATATTGAATGGAAGATTGAAGAAGTTGAATTAACAAACTACTGATGACAATATTGGCATGATGACTACATAAAAAATTGAAGGAAAGCAAAGAAAAGATATTGCAAGACCGCTTTCGACTGAAGAAGAAAATGATGTATATGATTGAATCTGCCTTGTTCCCAATGGGGGATATAAAGAATATGAAGCCAAATGGATTGTTTGTCTGAATAGTACTGAGGCTCACATGGATTACACATTTGACGAGATTTGTGTCTTGTGTCATTGAATTCCATCCCTGGTTTTGTTTACCTATTAATGTTTTGATCGATTATGTTCAACTCAAACTTTCTATATCTTAATAAATAAAAAATCCTAGATTTATTGAGCATTCGAAATCATGTTTACAAATGAAATTATATGATCCATCAAGGAGATGATTGCATTTTCAGAAGAAGCATTCAAATATCTCAAGACAAACTGGTTTAAAGCAGTTCAAACTCCCTCCTCCCGTGAGCGATATACTCATAAGATGGAGTTTGCAATATCATGCGGAAAATAGATCAACGAAAGTGGCAACGATTTTTATGACGCTGAAAGATTTTGACAGCGATTCATGAGCATGACTAATAAATTTTTACGACATAGCTTTACATACATATACCCCTGACAATTTTTTGTATTCATTTATCGCTACTATCAAACGTTTTTATGGAAAACGATAGTGTAGATCAAAAAGTGTTTCCTTTCTCTTTTCTTAAAGTATTCGACAGTTGATAAATTTGCAACAGAATAAATTCCAGTTAGCCCTTAGGCAGGATTGGGCAAGTTCTTTTTCGTACAATAGACAAGCACGTGCAGTTGATTGTTCCTTGTCAACTATTGCAAAACTAATTGAGTTTTTGCAACTTTTGATAATTTTAGTCAGTGATCTATAACGGCTCGCTATTTTGCATAGGGAGTAACCATGTTACACTGAAATGATGGGGAATTCTTGATGATACTTTCAACGTTATGTTCATCTATCGAATGTTGTTGAATTATAGTTCCAAGTTTCAAGAAGATTTAATGAAGTACACATTTTTTAATTTACTTGCCCTCTTACAGTTTTACATCGCGGTATCATTTATTTTTATTTTCAGAGTCTTTATTACAATCTTAATTAACTGTTCAAGGACTGATTAATACAACGAAAATTAATAAATCTTGTTGAAAAAGTTCATTGTCTCTTGCTTCAGTTTGTCTTTTTGTTCTGTCAAAAATATGTTTCTCCAGTCCTTGCACGTATACTTGATAAATTCTAGCCCGTTTACTTTAAGAGAAAGGTCACTTAAACTGTCGAAGAACGATTTCATTACATCTTCTTCATTAATTTCGAATGTAGCAATAGAGACCTTAAGATCTAGGACGTCAGTGGTCTAGGACGGCTAACGGAAGTAAATAGGAAAAAAAATTTTCAAATGCGCATGCGTTTGTCAAAATGCACCTTCGTCCACCTTATGTCGACGACGTGAATTTAGCAGTTTGGCGTCGAATCTGGAACGCGACATGAGAAGCAACATTTTTGTTGCTTTAGAGTTATCTTTCTCAGAGTAAGTATGATTTATGTTTTTCTTCTGTTTGGTTAATGAATCACTCCAGTATTTGAGTATTTTTAAGCTTGTTAATGCCTATAACGTTTTACGCAATAGCCTGCCTAAAGCCCGGCGCACACGAGAGCTATGTGCTTAGCAAAATGTCATTCGTGTCAAGTGGCGCGAGCAAGTTGCTCTCGTGTGCGCGTACTGTTTCCGACGAAATTCTGTGTCATTTTCTGATTCCGAAGAACAAGACGAAATAGCACTTTTATGCCTGTTGCTAATTCGCCGTAGACGCAGGCGTTTACCAGCTTCTTGTCGTAAAACATGGACGAAGCGGTGGATTATGAGACGAGAAGCGCAAGGCGCATTTAATAACCTCATACGAGAATTAAATGCCGAAGATCCTGAAAAATTTCGGCAGTTTCATCGGGTGGACAGGAAGTCATTTGAAGAAATTTTGGGATTTGTTCACGAAGCAATTGTTAAAAGGGACACAACCATGCGAAATGCTATTACTCCAAGAGAACGCTTATCAGTTACTCTTCGTTATTTGGCAACTGGTATGTGCTTTACTAGTTGACAAGTGTTCTGCAAATAAGAAAATGCCTCTGTGTTGTTTAAAACATTAGTAAGAACATCATTATTATGTTAATGATTCTCCAGCTACTGAAATATTAGGGAACATGTGTTATATGAAAAATTTGTTTTTATTTTTATGTACTTTTGCCAAATTGAAGCAATCACTCATCAGTAATTCAGTAAAACAAGGTTAATCTAACCTTGAGGCAATGAGAAAATTATGGACGTAACAAAACTATTCATTTAGGTGAAACATTTAGAAGCTTGTCCTTTACATTCCGCATGGGCGAAAGAACTGTTTCTGCAATAATAGAAGAAACATTTATTGCAATATACTTTAACATGAGAAGTAAATTTCTGAAGGTAAAGTATTTCTCCCGAGAACAACTTTTATCAAAAAAATAAACTGTATACCTCATATATAATCAACATATAAATAATTTTTTACTTCTTGTTTGGGTGCATTAATTATTATTATTCAATTGTTATGCATATCATTTCCTTGAAACTCGGGACTACTAGGCAAAAAATCTTGTTGAGGCATAAAAAGACTGGCATCAGAATTAATATGCTCTCTTCGTGCAGGCCATGTAGCTCCTCGAATTTGATGGTTTGGGTAAAAACCACTTAAAGTACGACTGCTGGCAGGGTCAACATTAACTGATTGGCACATTGGTTGCCAGTTTGGTTGTCTTGTCAGAGAATTCAGCTGATTTGTTTCATTTAGCCCTAACATTCCCATTTGCGCTTGAAATAAAATATTATTTATTTTATTTTGGGCCAAATGTCTGACTTTTGGATCAAACTCAGCTAACGTTTGGGATACATATTGCCCAAAAACACTAATGGCATTATCACTTCTATTGCTATCTTTTTTTTGCCTTTTCTTTTGTCTTTCACAAAGTGATTGGGTCAAACCACTGAGCAAGTTTAACTCTTCCTCTGCATGTCTTTTTCTTGCTCTTTTACTGCATGACTTTCTTGAACTCATGCTAGTGATACTAGCACCATCATCTGCATCTTCATCAAGAACGCTTGATGATTCTGGGATATCGTCATGAGAACTCTCTTCATCTACCAGCGAACACTCGTGTGATTGATGAGGTGAATCATCATCATCATCAGGTGGTGATAGCTAAAAAGTGAATTTAAATTAATATTAGTTATCTTTGATTTTCAGACTCCATCCACAAAAAGAGAATGGCTAGACGTATCTGAAGAGTTTCAAACAAAATGGAACTAACCATTTTGTATAGGTGCAATTGATGGAAAGCATGTTGCTATTCAAAATCCAATTCATGGGGGCTCTGAGTTTTACAACTACAAACACTTCTACAGTGTATTATTTTTGGCTATAGTTGATATAAACTACAAGTTTATATATATTGAAGCAGGAGCAGCTGGACGTGGGGGAGATGCTGGGATTTTCAATGACTCAGCTTTCATTAATGCTTTTAAGAGTAATTCTTTAGATCTACCTCCTCCATCAACTATTGAAGGGATTTCTGAAAAAATAAGCTATCATTTAGTGGGGCGTGATGCTTTTGCTCTAACAACAAATATGATGAAACCATATCCTCATCGGTCTTTGAATAAACAGCAAAGGGTGTTCAATTACCGTTTATCTCGAGCAAGAAGGGTTGCAGAAAATGCATTTGGGATTTTTGCCCACAGATTCCGTGTTTTCCTTTCAACAATTACATTAAGTCCTGAAAAAGTGACCTATTTAATATTAGCTACATGCTGCCTACACAACTACCTAATTGATAAACACAAACACACCTACACCAGTGCTGCTGATGTTGAACAGAATGACTGTACATTTTCGAATGGATTGTGGCGAGAAGACACTTCAATGGTGAGACTAAATCACTCAACTAACAGAAACTCATCACGACATGGTAAACATCAACGCATTCTTCTAACCAACTTCTTTTCTGGCTGTGGTTCAGTCCCATGGCAAAATGACATGATATAACTTTGTTTGAATTTATGAATATATTTATTGCTTGTGTCAAAACTTGCAAATATTTTCGGGTACTTAATAAATAGATTCAATTGATGCTACCATCTGTTTTTCATTCATACATAAACATTACTAATGTCAAACATAGCTTCGTGTTAAGTGCATAAACAATATGTTACACAAAATACTTACAGGATCGAGCGATAAAATCGAACGTCTTGTTGCTATGTGTGGCTCAAGAAATTTTAACTTGTCCAACAGCCAACGTGTTCTTTTCGATAAATTTTGCCTGGCACTTCCGCTGCGTTGTGGCTTCTTTGCTTTTGTGTAGCTATTACGTAAGGCTTCCAAACGTAATTTCACCCATTCAACTAAAGCCAGTAATGCATTTAATTTGAAATATATCAAAACGCAATGCCCTGCTGAATGTATAAATAACAAATACCAATTATACCATCACCTGATTGAGATAATTTTTCCGCTATTTCCTCAAAAGCAGATTCTCTTTTGTCTCGGTTTCTAAAATCTGCTGGCCGAACGTCGTATAGGCATGGGTAATCAGGCCAGAGATCAACTAGTTTATCCTCCAAAATTGCTCCTTCGACTAAATCGTGTTGTTCTGCCTGGACCGCCATTTTGGTTTAATATAAGATTTATTGAGCATGCGCTGTGATGAAAACACAAAAGCAATTTGCTTCAAGACGCCGCACACGGACAAATCGACAAAGCATTTCGCCACGCGTGGCAAAAAATATCAAACATGTTTGATATTTGCCAGTTCTGCCAGGAAAGGCAAAAGTCGTCGGAAACAGTACGCGCACACGAGAGCAACTTGCTCGCGCCACTTGACACGAATGACATTTTGCTAAGCACATAGCTCTCGTGTGCGCCGGGCTTAAAATCACAGGTGCACGTTGTTAATCATAAATGGTTGTTTATGTCACCGTCGACGGGGTTTTCGTTGCAGTCCTCTACTTGGAATAAACGTCGACGTTGACGTTACACATCTTAAGGTATCTATTATCCAAGTAAGTTCGGCATCATCAAACGTTCATGGCGTCTTTGCGAAGTGTGATTAACATTGCAGCCGTAACAGTTTTAAGCAACAAGACTTGATATTATGTACCCTATTTCTGCGGGATAACACTTCAACGATCTATCTTGTATTATTTGATGACGTTCCCCTAAAGTCTTGGGGTCTTCCCTAATATCAAATGTTTCCTTAAATTTCTTTGCTAGCTCAATGCCAACCTTTAGAACCATTTTTCGTTTTTATTGTAAGAAGAAAACTGGTCATTTTATAACATTGTAACCTCTTTTGACAAGCGATCTTTCCCTTCTAATAATATACATTAAAAATATCTCAATTCTGACTGTGCAATCTATGGTAAATACCAGTGCAAAAAAGCGAAACACCGGTGCAATTTATTTTCGAAAAATGTGCTCCTGGTTGGTGATCTACGAGCCAATCAAAATAGAACATTAGAAATACGGGAAAAATAAATTAATGTAACAAAGCAATTGCAATAGCAGGCATAAGTTTTAAGTATATATTCTTTGGCGAAAGAGTTTGAACCAGTAAACTCGACAAATAACTGCAACGATAACTTTGCCGCCATCTTTGAAGCCAAGCATGATGCTTTTTGTAGATATGATCCAGGCTCCTGGACGCCATAGTGATGCGCGGTCTTGTGCATTTCCCGTATGAAAAACAATGAACGATTTTAATATAAATAATATAAATCCTAACACGATTTATTTTACATGCACATGAAAAACATGTGACTTGGACGAGATTTGAACTCGCACCTTCGGGATACTAGTCCGCCGCTCTACCTGTTGAGCTACCAAAACCACAAGGATTGGAGACGAGTCAAATCTGTTAAAACTACGTATGGACGAGAAGTTCTCGCTACGATAGCAGTTACTGGATGGCACCGTGTTTCGACTTTATTCCAAAGCCATCATCAGAGCGATTATACATAATATAAATCCTAACACGTGATTTTATTTCATAAATCTTGGAGTATGGACTAGTGTCCTCTGTGTACTGGTAGTTTATTTCACATTTCGTACACCATTGCTTCACAGTTGGTAGCATACTTATCATACAACTAAGCCATCCTTATGATAAGTAAAACATAACATGATCCGCCATATACGGGATGAATTTATTCCGAAATACTTGAATGAACTCTCATACTGCATGCTTTGAATGCTTCATGTTGAAATGTTGGAGACTTTGGAAAGATAAATTGCAAATGCTAAACATATCTTGCGTTATTTTTGTATCTATAATCTAATGATACTTCTTATATTTATAGGAATAAAACATGGTGTTAGATATTTGCAATTTCATTTGAAAAGACAACTTGAAAATGTTGTTTACAATTCAGTTGTAAATGACAAATGTGTAATTTGCAGAAGTTATTTTGATATCGTTGAAATAAATATCAATACTTTTCTTTACTTTTGAATGATTACGCTTTATGTAAAAGGCAAGGAAAATCAGAAATCCCATTTCCTCAACCACACAACAATGTTGATTCATGTCCTTGACACTAATTGCTGAAAGCAAGTTGCAAATATTTTTTAGTAGAAAGTGCTTGTTGTTATTGAGAGTTTGGCAGAAAAATTGTTAAGTAAAAAAAAATAGGAAAACCAACATATGCTTTAAGGGTAACCATCTTAAAGCTACAATTGACAACAAAAATTAATTAAAGGTTAAAGGTGGGAAAAGAACACACTGTTCAGAAATAAACTGTTTAACAACAAGCTAACAAGGTCATATTTGAATTTTTTTTCCCAAAACGCCATACAAGATAACTTGTGACTTTTGGGGAACTTGGTAAATATATTATTCAGAATGAAAGAATAGGTACTGAATGGCATTGTCTGGACTGAAGAAAAGTTCTGAATGTCTTAACAATCGTGAATTTTGTCCCTGGCTGATTACTTTAAATGCCGTCATTCATATCTGTAATAAATTATTATTCTCCCACAAAAGATGAGGAGAAAGCCTCAATGTTGCTCATTTGGATTGTTCTGAAGCTGTTTCAATGTGCATACTTCATCAATTGGCCACCAGACTACAGAGAACAAAATTTTAGGTCAAAAATTGGCTACTTGCTCGAAAAGTCGTTTAAGATTCACAGCTTCATCAGTTGCAACCAAGCATTATCATCAAATGGCCTTAAAGACAGTGGAAAGTTATTTTGTTCCTGTTCCTTTAAAGCACGTGAAGAAATAAATTTTAGGGGCTTCAACCCCGAAACTTCTGCTATTTGGAGAACATCATTTAAAAAATATTGGTACAAACATTCTCAAGTAAACTCCTAGGGATTCCATTTCCATTTCACTCATGCCTTCAGTTTCGTGAATTATTTCCACTGACAAATTGTCTCGCAATTATGTTACATTGAAACATATGTAATAATATGTACAATCACGCAAATCTAACCCGTAGTTCATCAAAAACCATTCGTAGTTTGCATTTGTTGTTTTTTTATATATTTGTTCCATCCTCTGTCGTCAATAGAGATGATGAAATGACGTGAGAAATGTCAATAAGAACTTCAGATTTCAAAGAAGTTTGCCGAGGAATAAAGGCTTCTCCTGCAATAAATCCAACTTCATTAGATTTTCTGAAGTGTACCTTCCATACTTCATACTTCTCTTTCCATACTTCACATACAAAAACATGCAACTGCCGACAAAAACAAAAATGCTCACTTAACGGAAACTGCCTACAATCATCTGTCATGTACCAAGTAACTGTGAAACGCAAGGACAATGAAACAACTGAGACGTACATTGGACTTAAGAAAACGAATTTAAGACTAGGCATAGGAATCGCACTGCCTCTTTCCGCCACAAAAACTACGAAACTCGACCGAACTCAGTAAGCACTATTGGACCCTTAAAGACAGCAACATTGAACACGACATCTCATGGAACATCATCACACACAGTAAACCATACAACAGCACCAGTAAAAGATGCGACCTTTGCCTCCAAGAAAAATTCTTCATCCTCTACCAACCATCTAAATCATCCCTCAATAAACGCAACGAACTTGTTTCTTCTTGTCGCCATAGATCCAAAACACTCCTATTATACTTGTAACTATACACCTTAATTAATACGCTAACTTTCGTATCATAAGTATGCTACAAACTGTAAAGCAATGGTGTACAAAATGTAAAATAAACTACCAGTACACAGTCCATACTCCAAGACTTATGAAATAAAATCACGTGAAAATATTATTTAGCCATTTATTTTGTACTAGAAAATATTTTTACTTTATCTCCTCCCCAAGATGACCACACCACTCCTCGTAAAAATTTCGGTGAACGTTTGCTTTGAACGTGAAGTATAAGTAAAACAACATTCTCTAGCAATACAACTCCATATTTATTTTGTGAAAGTATCTTTCTGGGGCCGGTTGTATAAAAACGTAATTAACTTTAACTATAATTAACGTTAACTACCGTAGTTAACTCCTTAACTGTAGTTGCTTAACTGCTCAACTTAACTGCGTTGCTCAAAACGTAGTTAGTCGGATAGTTAAGTAACTGCGCAGTTAACTTGCGTGAAAATTGCGTGGAGTGTTGTTTACGTTAAATGGCATAAAGTTTAATCAATTTATGCTTAGTAATGGCGGGCAAGTGAACTATAAAATAACTTTAAAATCAAGAAAAATCTTTTGGCTTTTGTAAAAATCTTAAAATATGGCAAACTACTGTCGTTTTTAAGGATGTTGATGATACGAAAAGAAAATTTAATAAACGATTCACGGTGATATGGTAACCGGATTAAATTGTAGCATATACTTTGGACTTTTCTCAAGAAAATCGACCCTTATCTTCTGTGTCGTATAGTACGATATTGATAAATGATATGAGTCTCGGCAAGGACTGTTTTCTTTCATGTATCAATTATATATAATGGACTTGGGCAAACGAAACAATGAACTCTTCTCAAATTGATTCATATTGTGTTCTATGTGCAAGGATTTAAATATTCGATTGGCCTTGCTTTTACAGAATTTAAAACTGAGAGATTGAGGGTAACAAAGGAAAAGGTCGTTTCGTTTCTCTTAATAACAGCTGAGTAAAATGCTTGAAAGAAATGTGTTTGTAAAGACATAAGTCACACATATTTGTAAAAGATGACAGTGATGGACTTTTTTATCATTAGAAAACATTTCTCTGAGTCATCATAGGCAGTAGTCATGTAATCCAGCAACTGTCTTTTCTCGGCTTGTGACATGTTATATTCGTAGCTATAAACCAAATACTTATTTGTTCTTAATTCTGCCTTGCAAAAAACTGAGTTATAAAAACTATTGAGTATAATTGTTAATGAGCCTTAGCTATGAAACTTTTGTTTATGCCTTTGTGATCTTTTGGCCTATCTTTGTCTAAAGCTTGGGAGTTTTATTCATTTTTTCTACTTTTTTAATCATCAAACAGTAGCTAGATCTTTATTGGCTGGCAAGATTGTATGTACATTGAAAATAAAAATTTTTACATAAGAAATACTTGATGAAATATCAATAAAACCCATTAATTGACTGTCATGTATATTTTCTTATTGTGTAATAAACCATAGGCAATGGATAATGTACATATATCAAGCAACATGGACCTTCACCATGCATGCTGATGAAATGTTTTATGTATTTAAGAAACTAAAATCATTGTATCTCATGCAGCTGATACACAAAAGAGTAGTCATGAATAAAAACTGTTGTAAAGCTCATGTATCTATATGTATCATCATTGGTATACTTAGCACAACATTTATACTGTAGTACCTCTTTGTTTTAACATAATCTAGCTTATTATCCATTGAGCAATGAGTGTATGATGCATATCATATTCAATCAGGCAAAATGCATAGGGAAAAACACTGAATATTTGATACATCCAAGGCTATACTTGATACATTTGATACATCCAATACTTGAATATTTGATACATCCAATACTTGAATATTTGATACATCCAATACTTGAATATTTGATACATCCAAGGCTATAGGATTCGTTGCTCAAATAACTTTATTTCTTTTTTTTGTCATTGAACGAATTGTACGTATTTGTAAGACAATGTCAGCGAGTTATGTGCACTAATTTTAAATAAGTGGCTCTATCTCAATTGAGAGTCTCGCTTATGAGTTGAAAGAGATACCGGACGCAAAAAAAGACACTACAAATCCAATTGCTTTTGTGTAAAAAGGGATTTGTTACGTGGGTTAATTGTTGGCTGCTTTTCGTCAGCAAAACTTGGGATGTTAACAGCACTGACGAATGTAGTACACCTTCCATAAAGCTCTTATTCTAAAAGCCTTTGCCATGGAAGATACATTTGTGATTAAAAACTCAAGGTAAAACCTTGTTGATCAACAACATCTCGCCCATAATTGTCTTTGAGAAGCTAAGCCGCCATATTTAACTGTGTTTTGAAAAGTTAACTATGCTCCATTGCATAGTTAACTTTAACTACCTTTTAACTGCAGTTAGCGCTAATTACTTTTTTATACAACCGACTAAACCGCGTGGTTAAATTTAACTACTTTTTAACTGCAAAAAGTGTAGTTAAAAAGTAGTTAAGAGCTTTATACAACCGGCCCCCAGTGTCAAGCAGAAGTAGCGCATGCGCAATGGAAAAATGCGCAACAATTTTGGCTGAGGGGGCCTGGTTACGCTATCTATTCTGGGTCAAAACCATGCTATTACATATACAAATAATCCACTGCCTCATTTCCGATTCATCAACTTAACCAGTAAGAAGAAATCTTACTCTACTTCCGGTTGACACGCGCGCCCGGTTTACTTTCACGGCCTGGAAACTAATAGACACAGGTAAGAGCTCCGCTTACTTCCGGAAGCATACCTGCAGGCTATCTACGGACATGCACGGCAATAAGTTACAAGTAGTCATGGAAATCTACAACAAACTACACCAACCCACAACCATATAAAACCATTATAGACACATTGATGAAGCTTAATGAATTTATTTTAATAGTACTATTCAATTACTATTTTAATTAGTTTAGGTGAATGATAAAAAAAATACAGAATAAGGTTTCCAAGTGATATCCAATATCAGCTGCTGAGGCACATAACCCTAATTATTGCCAAGATAATCTTGGATATCAAACTCAACCTTATCATATAATAATTTATTATTATACTTGAAATTTTACTTTGCTATGTGTGACATAATATTAAGTATTTCACAAACCTGTAAATAGGTCATCACATGATGCCTTTCTGAAAAAAAAACAATAAAAAGTTCATTGTCGATGGGCCAAAATTTGTGGTAGTTATAAGGGCCTTTTTGCACACCATGACACGATACTTTCAATTGATAGTACATAGCTATCCCAATTTACCCGAGAGCTCCCTTCCTTCAAGAGCTGTTAGGTTGGATTTTAGTTGGTCTGTCACAAAAAAAAATTTTCCATCAAAGGAGGCTTGCACAAATTTGAACAAAGAAAACATGCTTGCTAACATGATAAACAACTGGTCTCTCTTTACATAAACAAAATGCAGTCAACTGAATTGATAAGAACATGAAGTGAGGCACAGTTATTTAATTAGAGTGGTACAGTACCCAGCTTAGTGACAACTTTTATTAATAAATTATAATTTTGCAATTTAAGAGAGAGAAAGAAAAGATACATTAATATGGAAGATCAGTGAGCAAATGTTTCATTGTTTTTGAAAACCTCTAGAGAATTATTATTATTAAATGTATACATAACTCATCATATAATTAAGAAACAAAAGATGTTTACTGTGTTTGCACAGGCTTATGCAAACTGAGGAAACCTTTGGGAGAACTCAAGAGCAGATCAGTGCAAACACGTGACCTAAGGTTGAGAGTTCTCACAAACATCTCCAAGGTTTGAATAAGCCAATGCAATCACAAAAACATCTTTTATTTCTTTTATAAAATAACAATAATGCAAAACAGAGAAATTTAAAGTAAACATTTTAATTTTTCCGCTAAAATGTATTCATGATCGATTTGCAATTCTTTTTGACTGATTGATTGTTATGATTGGTTTGATTGGTTAAGCTTGGATGTGTTTTGCACAGGCTAGTGCAAACACAGCTCTACACCAATTAGCGCACACATTTCATTGTTTTTATATCATAATTACCAATAAAGGTGAAAAGTTGTAACAGAAATGAAGTAACTTTAAAAGACAAACATTGTATAATCATTAATCAAAACAACTGTATCCCCATCATTAGTGCTCTCACTTCTGCCGAAAAGTTCCTGCACATTCTGCAATAAATTAATCTAATTGATTGAGAAATACATCTGGTTGGCTACAGATAGAAAATTGTAAAAGCCACTGTAAAAAAGGTACCTAGAAAAGATACCTTGATTGGCATCATTGCATTTGCTCACATGAAAGTACATAGAAAAATAACAAAAATGCAAGCATGAAGCATCCAAAAACTGTGCATCCTACCTATGTATTTATACACAGAGGGTGACTAAACTTTTTATGTTTTCAAACATTAAAGACACTCATTGCGCAGCGCTTGCCCATTGATCTAGTATACTCCAAAAAGTGAAACATCAACAAACCTAGATACTTTTTCTTCATATGCTGCTTCTTGTGTTTCTCAACAAAACTCATGGTTAGTACAACGCACCATTGAAATGAATCATTCTTAATTTGTTATAATATATTGCTAATTGATTTCTATGAGCAACCTCCATGAGTCCATACCAGGTCACTGCTGTGAAGGTACCACAGGAATCATCCTGACATTCATCCTCACATTCACCACAGGATTCACCACAACCAGCAAAAAGTGGGAAGGTAATACCAGATTCACTTTAACAAGATTAAATAACTTCAGTTTCAGAACCAAAATATAAAAAACCGTACTTTTTGCTACAAAAAAAAACCATAAAATACACACATGTTTGCTGCCGTTATAAAGACCAAGTTGTTTAAAGAACGATTCTTGGAGCAAATCTACAGCCTTTTAAAGACTACAAAGTCTTGGAGCAAATCTACAGCCTTTTAAAGACTACTTCCGCTTTTGTCTCTTTACGTTAATTAATTATGCGGGATGTTTACAATGCATAAATGTTGACATCAATAAAGGCCTACTTTTCAAGAAGTAAACACGCTGGAAAATACTTGTGTTTGGTAACATCCAAAAGTACGTTTCCTGAGGATTTCAAATACATCTTTACTTTTGTGTCCCAAATTGTGAAGCGAATCTACAGCCGTGCAAAGTCGACTGTGAAGGTACCACATGATTCAAGATAGTACGCTTTTTATATGGTAAACACGCTACAATTTACTTGGGTTTCAAGTCATCTGAAAAAGCGTGTTCCAAGGATTTTAAATATGTCTTTATTTTCCTGGCACAAATTCCAGGAGCAAATCTAAAGCTTAAGAAAGGTAGAGCATTTTTGCGTTAGTTAATATGCATGTTGTCATGTAGCATTATTTCACTAACGTCTAAATATGCCTGAATTTAAACTAGTTAACACTCTGCAATATACTCCTGTTTGGTATCAGCTTAAATATCTTGTTCTAAGGATTACAAATATGTTTTTATTATTCTGGCCCAAATTGATGGAGCAATTCTACAGCTTAGAAAATACTTGAGAGTTTTGCGTTAATATATATTCGCGCTACTTAACTGACATGTATATATATACCTGATTTTTGAAGACGTTAACACGCTGCAATATAGTTGTGTTTAGTATCGTCTTAAAGATCGTGTTCTGAGGATTACAAATGTGTTCTTTTTATCCTGGCGCAAATTCGTGGAGCAATTCTACAGCTTAGAAAATACTTATGACTTTTGCGTTAATTAATATTTGCTGTACTTAACTGACATGTATATATATATCAGAAGACAAAGGTAATATGGATAATGTCTGTGCTAGTGCAACATGTGCACCATTCAGCGATGTTGAATCGTATGAGTTAGTAGTATAGTACATGGGGGTTCGAGATCAAAAAAAATTCATTTTTTTTTATCTCATACCTCCCATGTACTATACGGAGTTTAACCGTGGGTAAAAACTATCTTTATAACAGCGCAAAATAAGACCATGGTTCAAAAGGCGTCCCTCAGCAAAAGGTCATGTAAAGAAAGCTGTGTAAAAAAATCATTGTTTTCAAAGGGGGGTAAAAATCTCGAGGTTACAATCTGTCGTTTAAAAATATGGAATCTATATGTTTTAAAAACTATCTTTAGAAATAAATGTTAAGAAAGCATCGGTTCGGAGGAAATTCGGCAGCGCAGAGCACAAAGTGCTCGAGCAGGGGAGGAATTTCCGAGAATTCAGGCGACGATGGTGGGAAATTTTTCACGAAGTGAAAAATTGGAGTCGCCCCCGTGGTGTCCGAAGGACGACAGAGGATTAATATATCCTCTTTTACAATCTATCGTTTAAAAATATGGAATCTATATGTTTTTGAAATATATAGGTGCGTTTAAATTTTACAAACGGTCTTTACAAACAAATGTTAACAAGCATCGTTTCGGAGGGGACTCGGCAGCACAGATCACGAAGTGATCGAGCAGGGGAATGGAGTCCCCGAGAATTCTTAGCGACGGCCGGGGAAAATTTTCACGAAGTGAAAATTCGGAGCGCCCCCGTAGATTCGATGAATATTCGAAGAATATTCGAGAATAACAGAGGCTTAAAAAATGCTCTTCAAAAAACCGTCTTTAGAAATCAAGTGTTAACAAGGCCCTGCCAGGAGTCTGTCAAGCCATCAGCGCATGTATAATAATACAATGTTTTATAAATATCAGTAGCAGCGCGCTTTTTAGTCTACGTGGTATATTGGATTAACTAGTGGCTTTTAACAATGGTCTTGAATCCAGCGCGTGGTAGAAATATTCTTTAATAATCAAGTGTTAATAAAGCATCTTTTTAAATCGTTGTTAAGGGCGAAGAATTTCAGGCAACTAAGCCTGAAATTTTGAGCGCAACAATGTCATAGATGCTCTTTACAAAATATGGAATCTATATGTTTTTTTAATTTGTCTATCAAGTGCGTGTCAAATGTACATGGTTAACAAAAAAAATTTAAGAAAATTGTGATACGACTCCTCCCCCCTGAAAATGAATTTCTTTATATTTCCATATTTTCATCAAAAAACTACAATTTATGCATTTGAACATATTTTCCATAACAAAAAAAAATTTTACAAAATTGGGATACCACCCCTCCCCCGCTGAAAACGAATTTTTTCATATTTCCATATTTTCATCAAAAAACTATAATTTATGCATTTGAACCATTGAGCTCTAAAAGACCTGGAGGGGCAAAGGGGCCTGGGCCTCGTGGTCAAAAACATGGCGGTAATGGCGGATTTTGGTTGTCAAAACTTCCACTTTGAGAAAAATTTTTAACATTCGCTCCCTCCCGAAACGGATCTCTATTACTGCTCGTAGTAATGACAACCAGCGAAAACAACCACGATACCGTAAGCATAAAATATTGAAAATAATGCTTCAGGTTTTTGTGAAATAGACACACACATTTAAATGAGGTAAATCTACTGTAAAATAACGTATATGTTTTCAAGTAATGCTTTAGCTATATTAGAAATAAATATCAAACGGCCATCTTTACACTGTTAATGTGTTGTTAACCTTTAATGCATAATCCCATGCGCATTACTTGTGTTTTTGACTGTTTGATAACAGCTTGGTGCAACTGTCTTTCTTGAATAGATGGGTAAATCTTAGTTAAAATGTCCAAAAAGGAGTTAGAAAAAGTTAGCTTACCCCTACGACTTAAGTCGACTGGAAATATATTATAAGTAGGTATGTAATTTTTTTGAGTTTTTGGTAGGATTGATTCTGGGTGTCTTATAAAGTATTATGATATTCCGATAAATCTACTGAGAACTTGTGAGGAAAATATCTTGAACTAGGAGAGCAAAAGAACGAAATTCAGAAATTCTATAATCATGTTGCTGGTTCTGTTTTGAGCCATGATATTAGAAACTGGATTGTCCAGGCTAGCTGTTTAATACAGGTAATTTTTATTGTACGACATGTACCAAAGAGCTCATTAATTAATCCTGCACTGCATTTGATTTCAATACAGCTCTGTCCTTAATATTTGCTTCATATTTTCAGAAAAATATCATGAAAAAATCCTCCATTTCAACTCAGTTGAAACAACGAGTTTTAAGATATGCATATCTCGATAAGAACTGGTTGCTTTGCCTCGTCTAGCAATCGATTAAGTAAAGAACAAATAAGACTGGATAAACATAACTTAAATTATAACTTAGGAGTAAAAACATTCACAAAATTTATACCATCACACTTCAAGTATTGACTTAAAACAAAACACTGAACACTTTAAATAGTAAACAAACGTAGTCATGAAATGTTTCCTTTTCTGGCATTACTTCAGCATCCGTATACCGAACAAGTTTGCAGCATGTTTTAAAGATAAAATTTCTAAAAGTTTTTGTGCTTGGCATTGATATTTTATGTAATCGCAATTGTGGTTGTCAAATCCGGGTGGGCGAAAAAAATTTCATTTTATGAGCCCGCTTCCTGACTTTGACAACCAAAATCCGCCATGTTTTTGACCACGCGGCCGCGCGCTGATAATTTATAGTAATTTGGTTGACGTTTCCCCTCCAGGTCTTTTAGAGCTCAATGATTTGAACACATTTTCTACAACAAAAAAAATTTTACAAAATTGGGATACCACCCCTCCCCACCTGAAAATGAATTTCTTCATATTTCCATATTTTCATCAAAAACTATAATTTATGCATTTGAACACATTTTCTATAACAAAAAAATTTTACAAAATTGGGATACCACCCCTCCCCCCCTAAAAACGAATTTTTTCATATTTCCATATTTTCATCAAAAAACTATAATTTATGCATTTGAACAAATTTTCCATAACAAAAAAATTTTACAAAATTGGGATACCACCCTCCCCTGAAAACGAATTTTTTATATTTCCATATTTTCATCAAAAACTATAATTTATGCATTTGAACAAATTTTCCATAACAAAAAATTTTACAAAATTGGGATACCACCCCCCCCTGAAAACGAATTTCTTCATATTTCCATATTTTCATCAAAAAACTATAATTTATGCATTTGAACATATTTTCCATAACAAAAAAATTTACAAAATTGGGATACCACCCCTCCCCCGCTGAAAACAAATTTTTTCATATTTCCATATTGTCATCATAAAACTATAACTTATGCATTTGAACACATTTTCCATAACAAAAAAAATTTTACAAGATTGGGATACCACCCCCTGAAAATGAATTTCTTCATATTTCCATATTTTCATCTGAAAACTATAATTGATGCATTTGAACACATTTTCCATAACAAAAAAAAATTTAAAAATTGGGATACGACCCCTCCCCCCTGAAAATGAATTTCTTCATATTTCCATATTTTCATCAGAAAACTATAATTTATGCATTTGAACACATTTTCCATAACAAAAAAATTTAAAAAATTGGGATACCACCCCTCCCCCCCTGAAAAGGAATTTCTTCATATTTCCATATATTCATCAAAAAACTATAATTTATGCATTTCAACATATTTTCCATAACAAAAAAAATTTTAAAAATTGGGATACCAACCCTCCCCCCCCTGAAAATGAGTTTCTTCATATCTCCATATTTTCATCAAAAAACTATAATTTATGCATTTGAACATATTTTCCATAACAAAAAAAATTTTACAAAATTGGGATACCACCCCTCCCACCTGAAAATGAATTTTATAATAATTCCAAATTTTTATCAAAAAACTATAATTTATGCACTTGAACACATTTTCCATAACAAAAAAAATTTTACAAAATTGCGATACCACCCCTCCCCCCTGAGACGAATTTCTTCATATTTCCATATTTTTATCAAAAAACTATAATTTATGCATTTGAACACATTTTCCTTCACAAAAAAATTTTACAAAATTGGGATACCACCCCTCCCCCCTGAAAACGAATTTTATAATAATTCCAAATTTTTATCAAAAAACTATAATTTATGCATTTGAACACATTTTCCATCACAAAAAAAATTTTACAAAATTGGGATACCACCCCCTGAAAATGAATTTCTTCATATTTCCATATTTTCATCAGAAAACTATAATTTATGCATTTGAACACATTTTCCATCACAAAAAAAAATTTAAAAAATTGGGATACGAGCCCTCCCCCCCTGAAAATGAATTTCTTCATATTTCCATATTTTCATCAAAAAACTATAATTTATGCATTTCAACATATTTTCCATAACAAAAAAAATTTTAAAAAATTGGGATAGCCCTCCCCTGAAAATGAATTTCTTCATATTTCCATATTTTCATCAAAAAACTATAATTTATACATTTCAACATATTTTCCATAACAAAAAAAATTTTACAAAATTGGGATACCACCCCTCCCACCTGAAAATGGTGGGATACCACCCCTCCCAATTTTCTAAAATTTTTTTTGTTATGGAAAATGTGTTCAAATGCATAAATTATAGTCTTTTGATGAAAATATGGAAATATGAAAATTTCAGGGAAGGGTATCCAATTTTGTAAAATTTTTGTTATGGAAAATATGTTCAAATTCATAAATTATAGTTTTGATGAAAATATGGAAATATGAAGAAATTCTTTCAGAGGGGAAGGTGGTATCCAATTTTGTAAAATTTTTGTTATGGAAAATGTGTTCAAATGCATAAATTATAGTCTTTTGATAAAAATATGGAAATATCATAAAATTAATTTCAGGGGGGAGGGGTGCATTCCAATTTTTGTAAAATTTTTTTTGTTATGGAAAATGTGTTCGAATGCAAAAATTATAGTTTTTTGATGAAAATTTGGAAATATGAAGAAATTAATTCTCAGGGGGGGAGGGGTGGTATCCCAATTTTGTAAAAATTTTGTTTTGGAAAATGTGTTCAAACGCAAAAATTATAG